TGGATAATTAATAACCATTAAAATGATGTTACATATTGGGTCTCTTGTATCATCTAAATTTCCCTCCACTTCTCAAGCCACAGATTTTCATGTTTATCAATATCCCTCTCTATCCTCTTTAGGATTCCCAAGTACCCTGGCTCTGCTATTTTTAATGTAGATGACCAAATAAATCCAAGATGAGCTTTGGGCAAATCAGCTAGGGTCAAATATTATATATTCCTAATATGTACTAGCATCCCCTCAATATCTCCAAATATGTTGGGGGGATTAAGATTGCCTCAAACAGACGAACCATGAGAGACGATGGACTCTGAGAAACAAACTGAGGGTTCTAGAGGGGAGGGGGGTGGGGGGATGGGTTAGCCTGGTGATGGGTATTAAAGAGGGCGTGTTCTGCATGGAGCACTGGGTGTTATGCACAAACAATGAATCATGGAACACTACATCAAAAACTAATGATGTAATGTATGGTGATTAACATAATAAAAAAAAAAGATTGCCTCAAACAATTTTAAAGATCTTGAATACTTCGGACAAAAATAAAGCCCTCTCCCATCAATAATATTTCTAGAATATGGGAATGCAGATTGATACAAATCTCAGTTGATTTGCCTTAATTTTTCCCTATATTTTGAGAGCTATAGATATATCTGTACTTGAATATATGTGTGTGTGTATATATGTATATATATATATGTATATATGTATATAGAAAGCATAGCAGAGTGGTTAAGAGTCTTGAAGCTAGATTACTTTGGTTTGAGTCCAGGCTCCATCACCTGCTATTTGTATAAGCTTCAACAATGTTATATAACATCTCTGTACCTCAGTTTCCTTACTTGTAAAATAATATAATAAAATTATGTACCTCGTGAGGTGGTTGTGAGTATTAAATGAGTTCATGCACAAAAACCGCTTTAGAACATGCCTGTAAAGTTACAGGGATTCACTTTGAACACTACATCAAAAACTAATGATGTACTATATGTTGGCTAACTGAACATAATAAAAAAATTTAAAAAAAAGTTACAGGGCTTCAAAAACTTTAGTAATTGTGATGATATGCATCATATGAATATATACATAGGCACATATAATATATAATGGCTTAGTCTACAAAATAAGATGATTTTATGTTTCTATATACATTGCTAAATGCAATGTATTCATTGTATATATGTATACTCCATATATGGCACATTTTGATTTTCTTGAAAATTTCAGTTATCTAATGCCCAATATGAGAATACCAATGCAGCTCATGTCTAGACTGTACATAGTATAAATTTGGCGTTTTAAATCTACCCATTTAATGAATTAATATTTCTCACTGAATACTGGCTCTAATTCCCAGTGTAAGTGGCATCAAGGTGAAGCAGAAGAGCACAGGTTTAAGGCAGGAGTGCTCTGGATGCTCATTCTGACACAACCACTCAGAAGCTATATGATTTTGGGCAAGTCATTTAGCCTCTCTGAGCTTTAATTTTTTCATCTGCAAAACAGGGATGCGACATTTCTTGCAAGTTTGTGGTGAGAAGTAAAAGTACATAAAAGAAGCACTTGGCCAAGAGCCTGGCACATAGTAAATGCTTGATAAATGGAAACACTGATCTTCAATGTGTCGGTTCTACTTCAAACGTGGCTATTATTTTAAAGCCCAACACAAACAAACATCCCACTGGAAGTGTTTGATCAGCTATAGCTGTTGCTGTATAATGATCATGAGTTAGTCTTAAGGGCATGTGGTTTCAATAACCATGATGGTTGGAAGTTCTGCTGCTTGTTGAAGCAAAAGGGAAGAGGTTGGTGTAACGCAAGTTTCATCAATATCTTACCAGGCAGCTTGTAACTTTGCCCTTTCTCACGCTCTGCCCAGCCTCACCTCTCCTGCCAGTAAGAAGCCCCAGAAGCAGTTACACTGAAAATACTGTAGAAGGTGAAACCCTGCGGGCTGGCAGCACTCTGCTTGGTGGGGTTACGCCAAGCAGGCATGTTTGTCACCCATTGGCCAGAGACCCAGGGGAAAAAGACTCACTCTGTCCCTTTACTTTCACTGAGTCTGAGAGAAATGGATTAAAACCTCAGGCAGTTCACTGTAAATGGCAATTTCTTTTCAAATGTTACATATTTTTATATAATTGGTAGTAAGGGGCCATTGTTTTTTTGTAGTTGGGGGCCTGATTCACCTCTTGCACATTATATAAGGCAGAGGGAGAGGGAGAAGCAGACTCCCTGCCGAGCCAGGAGCCTGATGTGGGGCTCGATCCCAGGACCCCGGGATCATGACCTGACCCGAAGGCAGACACTTAACCATCTGAGCCACCCAGGCGCCCCACACATTATATAAGAATTTGGGTTTGACATAGTAATAGCTAATTGTGAAAAGCAACTACATGTGTACTCTGAAAGTAAATCATTTAATGAATGCCAAAAACTCCTTAGAATGAAAATAATACTATTTCAAGGGATAGTGCAATTATTGATAAATTCTTATGAATTCTTATATTCTTATTACACAAGTGGGTCTGACATGAAGCTTGCATGATATAAGAAACGTAAGGAAAGGTAGCCTAATATAGGAAAGGTGTTTCATGCACACGTGCAGAGAATTTTTCACACAGTTGGTGAAGCCACATTGATCCAGCAATTTGAATGTTATTATCCCTGGTCTCTCTCATTAAATACTTAAGAAAACATAGTAAAATTGTTTAAGGATACACATTTAGAATGCCATATCCAGAGCTATATCCAAGTAGCAAATGATTACACTGCTTATAAATTCTAGGTAGATGATAATTTAGAGTCCCCATGAAAGCCCTGAGTTTGATTGTTCTCTTAATTACTGGGCTCTATGCTATCAAATATTTGTGGAAGAGGAAGCTTTTCTTTGTGGGAGTGGATAATAACTGTGCTTACACTTTGAAAATTTTGCCTTGAGTTATTAAGATTTGCATTTCTCACTTTTGTTCCAAGGAAAGGTGTTTTGCCATTTTTAGAAATCAGGTACCAAATAATCAATCATCAAACACCCCAGAAAGTTTCCACTCTAGACAAGTGCAAAATCTCAGGTATTAGCAGTCCACCTCCAGAAACAAATCTAGGAAGAGTGGAAAGGGGGCGAAAGGATGTATCACTTTTCTAGGTGAATATATTGTGATTGGTATGAGTTGCGTGCGTTAAGAAACTATATTCGCTTACTAGATAGATGCCATTTAGAAACCAGCCAGAAAAAAGTCTGAGAGAGACCGCACAGACAGGCAAGCCTAAGCCTCGCTCCCATGCTGCTTCAGTGCCCTGCTCTTCCAGGCGCGTGAAGAATAAACAGACTGTGGTCATTGATCTCCTGGTGGTGTTGTTGCACTCTGGGAAATGCTGGGGGGTGCCCAGGGACGCGGCTTAGTCAATGGATGCGCATCTGAAGAAAATCACCGAGATGAGGAAAAAGAACATACAAATCGGCTAGAGAAGAGGAAGGGAAGAGCGAGAAAAAGAAACGTGTTGCTCGTATTGTGTCTTCTTAGTCCTTTACCCGCTGCCTCCCTCGTGACATCTCCCTTTTTGCCCCTTTCTGGACACCAGTTCTAGGAAGATCACTCGGGAGCCCCGACTCCCCCCGCCCCCCACCCCGTCCCCCACCCCGTCCACCCTAGTTTGAGATTTAATAGGGTTTCTTTTCTTTCTCTTTTTTCCTTTTTTTTTTTACCCCTGGCAAACCGGCAGCTGTTATAAGTCAATGAAAGTAAGATTGGAAGAGATAAGCGCCAGAGCAGCCTGGGAGCTGTCGGAGCACACACTTAAATCAGCCCCACAGCTTCTGCTCCGAGCATTACCCACGGAGTTTCTTCCCATGGTGATGTAACTCTGAGGGTCTCTCTCTGTCGCCTTCACGCGCTGACTCCAGTGTCGCTGGAGTCGAAAGCCCAGCGCTGAGCCTGTCCCCCCTAAATATCATTCCTTGGTTCTTGGGCATTGGGTCACTTGGGTTCACCCCCACAAAACAAAATCAGTTCAACTACCCCGGAGGCAGGGGTGAGAGCGGCTCAAAACTTTTCTCCCCCCGCACCCCAAGGAGTAGGTGGGTTCAAAGTGCCGGCGGCGGGGACCCGCGGGCGCACAGCGGAGCTCAGGGAGGTAGTGGTCGCTTTAAAAACCGAACCTCTCGCTGCTCCAGCCTTCGCGCCGGGCAAACGGCGGCTCGCCTCCCAGAAGGTTCCGCGGACACCAGCAGACCCCCACACGCGCCCCTCGTGAGAGCTTTACTGTGTGCAAACGGGGGTGAGGGGCAAGCAGGGGCCCAGGTAATGGTTCCAGGGCAGCGGGTGAGGTTCCAGCGCAGGGAAGAAGTTGACAAAGGGGACCTGACTAAACATGAATGCGTATTTATAGATGCGAGCTCCATCGAGATCCGAGATCCGGAGATAGCCCACTCTCCCTGCCTTCTTCCACTCTTGCCGTTTCATTTTATCGCTCCTTTAAGTGGAGGGCAGATTTTTTTTTTTTTTAAACATTCCTGCACGGTGTGGGTAATCACCGCGTTATTTACAATCTAGTTACTCTGCAGCAGACGGGGAAGCAAACTCTGGGGCTCTTTCTCTTCGGATGGACAGAGAGGGCGGCCAGGCGGCGAGCTGCAAGAAGGAGGTCAGGGTGGGTTTGCGGGAGCTCGGGGGCGACCTGGAGGGAGTTGGAGCCCCCGGCGCCGCCCCCGCGCCCGCCCCCGCCGCACCCCCCGGGGCGGGCGCCCGGCCGCGGTGACCGCCGGCTGGTGCGCTGCCCTCGCCTCCCCCATTGTTCCTACTGTCTTTTTGCCTTTTGTTATTTGCACTCGCATTGTGTTGTTTGTCTCTGAAGCCGCCTCATGACCAGCAAAGGGATTTCACCTCGTCCTTGAGAGCCACACGGGGAGCGAGAGCGAGCGAGCGAGAGCCGGGGGGAAGAGGGACACGCGCGCGCGCACACACACAGACACACACACACACACACACACAGACACACACAGTGAAAAAGGCGAGCCACCAAAACCCATCTCCAGTCTCCTCCCGGGGGCCCCCAGCCCGCCACTGTGCCACTTTGCATCCCACGCCAGAGGAGACATTAAGGAGACCCGGTAAGGTGCGTGAATCGCAGCGTTTTAACTTTGTTGTTCGTCCCGATGTTGTTGTGGGCAGACCTCCAAGGCGCAGAGCTCCCCTCAGCCGCTCGCCGTGCCCGCCACTCAGCACTCGCTCCCGGCTCCAGCTGGAGAGCCGGCTGAGGAGGGAGGGGGCCGCCACCGGAGTTTCCTCAAGTACGGAGGGAGGGGGACTGGGCTGGGGGTGAGGGGGAGGCGGGAGGCGGGAGGCGGCTCGAGACTTGAGGTGGCCCTGTCATCCTCGGGGGGCGGCTGGCCGTGGGGGACCTCGGAGCGTGGGCTTGGCCCCAGTTCAGGAAATGGGATAACTTTAGATATTTGTTGGGGAGCCTGCGCGCTGTTGCCGGTATTGTTTTGTAAGTGGTGGCGGTGGAGGTGGTGATTCGAGATGAGGGCAGGAGTGCAGGGAAAAGCCTAGGCTAGTCTGTGCATTTCGGCTAACGCCAAACCACAGACCCTAAAAGTTGGACAAAGCTCTTTACCCTTCCTAGAATATAAACGCGGCCGCCAGCCCACCCCACAATCTTAATATTCCCCCTTTTCGTCTTTTTGTTTCGCTTTCTGCAATCCCTCTCCTACTAGTCCTCCTCTCTTCCGCCCGGAATTTCGGAGACAAGTCTCATCCTTCAGAATTCTAGGGATTCCAGCGACCGGAAGCTTTAATTTTAATTGCAACTACTTTCCCCCAACCCCCTCAGTATACCAAGTGAAACCACTCACGTGTTGTGTCACTTTAAGCGCGGGTTTAGGAAATCTCGCTTGCACTTTGGGGCTACGGTAATCAGCAAGGAAAAGAGGTTATACGACTTGAAATCAAATGGGATTTGGAAATGTTTGCATTTGATAGCAGCAGTTTCTTGAGTAGTGATCTGCTGGCATCGGATGCACATGAAGCACTGTTTACATATTTTAATAGTCATTTTCCATATACTTTGCAAAGCGAATATATTAATACGTAGATTGACCCTGGTGACTATCTGAAGAAGCTGGCCTCTCTGACTAAATGCAGAGTGTGGTGAATGTGAATTCATTTTGATGCCTTCCCTTCTCAACTAAAGCAGGTCAAAATGAGGAATTCTGTGAATATGTAGAGCCATAGTCTCACTGTCAGCCAACCCAGGCACTCTGGGTGGCAGTCAACTGTACTTCTTTGGAAAAGTTTAGAGATTTGTTCTATCCCATTTGAGAGCCTCACAATATCCAGATATCCAAAGTAGTTTGTCAAGAAAGGCATGAGCTGATTTCCCCAGAGACTGCCTTCAGGCTCAGCACAATTCTTCAGTCAAGGGCAAGACCAAGGGAGATCTGTGGGATTTTGGGTAATAAGTGTGGGAATCTGCAAAGGGACTAGACAGAGGATTTCTTTCCTTGCTGCTCATAAATAATGGCCCCCAGTATCCTTAAAAAAAAAAAAAGGCCCACGCAAACAAAACAGGCCAATGAAGTAGGCGCGTGGGAGATTTGTAGGCAATGGACATTTCAATCAGAAAAAATACAGCAGGGTTTTTGATCAGGATTACAGGAGTGAGGCTCGATTGCCAAGAGTGATTAGGTTAAGGGTCAGATGGTTTTAAAGTATACAGAAATGTTTTTTAAGTTTGACTTTTATAGAACTAAAAGGAAGACGATTTCTTAGAGTCTTTACAGAACTGCAAAATTTTGATCTAATTTTGAAGGAATTCAGCTGTATGTGAACTGTTGTTAGCTCTGATAGGGAAAGAATCTGGTTTCAAATGTAGATACGTGGGACAAAGTTTCTGGGGGTCCTTCTTCCTGATTTAAATATAGCTCCCAGGCTGAAGCCTAGATAAATTCAGTCACAACGACTTAAAATCAAAAGCACTTACACTGAAAGTTCTCTTAGGCATTGTGCAAAGTTCTCCTGCAAATTATGTCATCAACTGTTTATTCCTCAGAACTGTATAAGATAAAAATCATAAGCATCACTTAAAACTGATGCAATATAGCTTTAAATCCTCAGACTGGTAGGGATTGCTTTTGTTTGCCTAAAAGGTAGATCTTTCATCACATGAGTTGTTTAAAAACATTTAATTGTGGGGGTGGGAAGGGATGTGTATAATTATTTAGTTATTTGTGTTAATTATATAGTAGCATACTCACTTGAAATTCTTTTTTTTTCTTTCCAGTGGTCTTCTAACAATCTTGTACATGAAGAATTAATAGAGTTTTTTGTTTGCTTGTGGGTTTTTAAAAAATCTCTTTTTGTAGCCTTTTTGAATGGGTAATATCAAATCAATCTGAGATAGACTTGAAAGAGTAAACTTAGTACAGGAAAAAAGAGCTTCAACTCTTAACAGACAAACTCTGTATTAGTTTTGTTGAGCTTAAACAGTTCTGGTTGAATGGCATGTTATATACAGGATTCAAAACTCAAACTTATTTGGTAAATAACCAGGCATTTGAGATTCAGTGGTTATTTCAAGTTAACTTAGTTCTATACATGTAAATGCACATCCTGTTTAGACTGACACATGACTTTGTAAAAGAAAAAAAATGAATATACGCTTATAAAGATGTTATCTGTGGAGTGTATGGAGTAAATAGTAAATAAGAAAAGGGTGAAGTTTATACTCAGGTATGATGGCTTTTTGTTTTTGTTTTTGGTCCTTTTTGGGGGTAAGACATGAGGTATAGGGAAAGTTTAAAATTTCATTTTCCAGGTAGAAGAATGAATTTGAATGCTTGAATAATTTTTCTTTTAAAGCAAATGAAAACTATGTAATTAAAAGAGCATACTGTCTTCTTGAAAAAGCTCTATTCATTTACTAAGTGATAGGCAATCATTGTTTTGAAGTCATGTTCAGATTATATAAAAAAGCAATATATAGGGCAGGATAAAACTTGTTTTTAGTGATCTTCTAAAATATACTGGGTTTCAAATAACTCAGAGTTCTAAGGTTGAACGCTATTTAGATTTCCATCAGGTAGAATTGTTGGATATGATTGATTGGCATAACCGGGACCTTCCACTCAATATCCAATCACCTGCAGTGGTAGAAATGCTATAATTAGAGTTTTGAGAGTAATCTAGAAAATTTATTTGTCTAGGCCTAAAGTCAATGCATTCCCTCACACACTCGTCACAATTTTTTAGCCTGAGAAATGTAGGCTTATTTTAAAGGCAAAGAAAGTCCTTGGCTGTTTCAAATAAACTATATCCTGAACCTAGATTTGTAGATAGTTAATAAAATAAAAGTCCAATTTTGTTCCAAACAATGTTTAAAACACCAATTTGTAAATTGTCTACATTTGGTTTTCATATGTTAATGATTTGGGATCTGAAACTTCTTTTAGAAAGGCATTTTGGTTTATCTTAAAAAACACCATACAAAACTGTCTAAACAACTCTGTAAATAAACTGTTCCAAATGCCTCAATTTGATGAATGAATTAAAGAATTATAGTTCTTAATCCAATTATGATCGGTCTTGTTATTCCATTTCCCATTTGGGGGAGCTTGGGAATGGTAAATGATTCTCAAATGTGAGTGGGGTCTTTTGTTTATTTTCTGTGTGTGATGTAACATAAATAATTACTCATACCTAACAGGAGAAGGATCTTAGATGTAGAAAAGTTATTTAATGATTTTCAATTAAACCAAGAATTCATTTGCATGAAAAGTTGCTCTTAATGGAAGAGTAAAACAAAATTTTTAAGAATACAAAGCAAGGGTCTAACCTTTTGCTTGAAACTAGTGATTTTTTTTATATTTAAAGGGGGAGAAATGGAGCACTTACAGCTCAGTAGTAGGGCAGATATTTGGGCACTTTTATTTGCTTTTAGCTGGGCCATGTTGGGACATTTATGGGGTCCTATTTAATAAACTTTACTACATTCAATTTCCTTGTCTTTAAAATTAAGGGTAATATGTTTTTTGGATTGTTTCCTCCAAACCCCTACCCCTTTAGCTGCCTACCTGGGTGCTTTTGAATGCTCTCCTGATCAGGGGCCTGAACTGTAGGATGGGCCCTTCATAACATCCCAGTTTGCTTTGAAGGACCCTTCTGAATTCCTGCCCCATTTGACCAATTTAACCTCTGGCTCATAAACTAATTAATTCAAAATTATTAATAGCTCATGGTTTAATTCTCTAGATGTGGTTACTATTATTATTACTGTTATTGTTACAGTTTATTACGACCATCTAATTCCTTAGAGAAAGAGTTGTGGAGATTACAGGTATCATGTGAAACCGCCAGAGGAAATATTTATGAACATAGGGATTTTTTTCAATACTACTTAAATCATACCTTATAGGCAAGTAATTAGTTTGCTTACTTGTAAGGACGTTGGGCAGGCATATTGATAAAAGTAGGGGGGAATGAATGTATTTAAGGAATATATTAAATAACCATCTTTAAAAATTGAGCCTTAAAAATAAACAAACCCAGAAAAAAAATGTGTCTCCAGGAGAGGTCGTATTGAATTCTATAGGTACAGGTCCATTCATTCTTTATTGCTTAAAGTTCATTGTAAGTCAAAAAGGAAAAGAAAAACCTGATTCTAGCTTTGATGCTCAATTACTTGTCATTCAGTTATTTTGTGATTATATGCTATCACGTGTTCCAAGGGGACAAATAATGCAGTGGTCAGCGGGATGGGAGGGCTCTGGCTTGACGTCCAGTTGGAATTCCCTAGAAGCTCAGGTATTGTGTTGTCACCTGCAGTACCAATTAAAGTCTTGGATGTAGGGAACTCAGGAAGGAACTGGGATGCAAAAGGCAATCTCACTCGCTTTTGGAGCTTCTCAGTTTAGGTCTACGTGTAATTCTTCCAAGACTTCGCTTGCAGTTCTGAGCATTCAGTGCTCTGCCCCGTTGACTCACCTCTAAAGCTGGAGATTATAATGCTTGTTCTTATATGGATATTGCATGGATTATACTAGATATTGTATGCCAAATTCCTAGCATAGGGTTTGTCCTGAACTAGGTACTTAGTAAATGTTAGCTACACTCTTCTGT